GGTCCCCCCCAACCTCCCCACTCTTTCCGTCGCGTTGGTCTAAGTCCTCGAGGCGGAGAGAAAGGAACCAGAGTGATGGACGGCTACCTATGGCGTTGCCATGTGGCCTCGGTCACGTGGGTTCGGACGTAAGGGGTAAAAGAATCTTGTGGTCATGGGGCTTCCCCTGACCTGGATTCTATCTCTCCGTCACCGGCAGAATCGCTGATTAATGCCTACAGTTCAAAATAGTCATTTTGACTGACCGGAGTCTATGGTGGGTATGAACTATGTGAATAGGCGGGTTCGAAGAACCCTCGCCTAAGTTTTACATGGTTACTTTGTTTTATTTTTACTTTCTTCATATACAATAAAGGAATAATTTGGGGCATTTTTGGTTCAAAAAAGGTTCTTTATGGCCATTTTTGATTGAACAATGCTAAATGTATACCATGTTGACCTATTTTCACAAAATTACTCCAGAAGTGTATCATTAAAACTTGCAGGAGCACATCAATTTGTTTTTGAATCTGCAAGTATAATTTGGGTCAAAATGTGTAGTTTTGAACAAAAATTATGTTTTTACCTGTTCTCAGCAATACATTCACCAATCACATTCAAACTTTGCAAAAATATAATGCACAATACATTACATATGTTGATAGACATGATTTCACAATTAAAGCCTATTAAAGGTTTTTTGGGGTAAAAAATATAATTTTGAGTAAAAAATTCCTGATGTATATACCAATTTCATAAAATTTTTACTTGTAGATAAGGCCAGACTTTTATTATCCCTTGTTTCGCGAACCCGCCGAATGAACAGGAGCCAAAAATAAAATGAAAAAATAAAATTTTATTTCAGCGTAATTTCTCGCCGACTTGTGATTGCAAAAAATTGCTAAAAAAATTATTTTTATCTTCATTTTTTTCCCCGCCCGCCGCCTAACAAATCCAAGTTGCATTTTCATGGGAGTATCATGATCAAAGTACCGAAGTCTCACGCAGATTCATACTTTTTGCATGTTGGTTGACAGTGAATATTTGGTATTGATCTCTCTGCGTGCTGTTTGCGACTACTAGGCGAATATGGCGGCAGCGTGGTTTGTGGTGACACGCCGTGAATCTGTCGTCAAAAAAACGAGAAATCCTTCATTAAATGCTGAAAATTGTGCCACCATTGGAGACATTGCCAACCAGGTTATATATGGAATTAAATGTTATTTCATTTCTTCTCTCCGATCAATGATTTCACTTTCAATTCTTTAAGAATCACACAAATCTAATGGAAAAAAAGAATTTTATTTTTTCCGCCCTTCTCAAAAAAATTGACTTATAAAAACTCGAGAAACAAGGAATAAAAAGTCTGGCCTAATATCACATACATGTATATTGTTAGACACAATTTCACATTCAAAGTTTATTAAATATTTATGTTAAGGGAAGAGTAGGAAATCAAACGGGCGGTGCACCGCGGTCATTACCGCGGTGTACCGCAGAACGCCGGGGAGAGCCGCGGACTGCTTATAATTAGAGGTCTCTACCGCTGTATCGGTCTCTACCGCGGTCCTCGGTAATGTGTGAAATACGTACTTAACAGTTTCTTTGTGATTCCACGAGTCATTGTTTTAAAATCCGATGCTGTAAATGAATACGATATGTGCGCTTGTTTAGTATTTAATACATGTATTTAGCGTAACACTGGAATAAAGTTTACAATTGAAAAGAGGACGATTTACAAAGTTTCAGCGTATCCAAGCCGTATCCTGGTTCTTGATTGATTTGGCAGTATCATGTTCACCATTTGTGTCACACTCCAGAAAAAATGGCCAGCAAACGAGAAACGGGCGAACTAATCAAAACAGGTCAGGCTGTCTGCATTGCACTGACAATGACATGATTATTTTCTGTTTCGTTTCATAAATCTTGCCTTGCGCATGTATTCTTGGTTGACAGAATCTTTTTTAAACAAAAGACGTTATTTTTCTGTTACATGTTCGTGTTCCATGGTACTCGTGAGTGTGAAAGGCATTTTGAATGAATAATTATTGAGTTTATGATACCGTACGATAACGCTAGCTGGCTTGATTAGAATTTCATTGCGTGTGCCAACCGCACGTAGTTCAAAAGCACCTGACGTTGTTTTGTTTTGTTTGCACTGGAAATGTAAGCGATCGAATACTCTGCGTTCAAAGTACGCTGCCCCAAGTTTGAAATTACAGTAAATTGTAACGCATGGATTTTATTTACATGAAATTTAGTTTATTTCAAAATGATATAGATGTCAAACCATAATTATTATTATTTGAAATGTTTCTTGACTTGACTTTTCTGGCTTTAATGTTTTGTGTGTGCGTGTTTGTTTACAATATCATTATCAACAACAGTTATTCAGTGGCCCCGTCTCTGAGGCAGTAAGTCGCGGTTTCGACTAAGTCGCGTAGTTCGATGGCTCCGGACGATTGTATTGTGTTTTGCCGTCAGTTTTAAAGTAGAAAAACTAAGTCTGGTATTATCGCGTATTTAATTGCCCGCTCAATCAGTTGGAGGTGACAACTTAACACCTATAGACCGTCATACTGAATAGAAAGGGTGATAGCAGCCTGACTCGAGGGGTCGACAGGG